CTCTCTCTCTCTCTCTCTCTCTCTCTCTTTCTCTTTCTTTCTCTAGAGTGTCTTATCCCTTGTGTTTTACCACAATATTGCTTTAATCTTTAAGCCGTAATAAATTGAGCAACCACAGTCTATTATTTTAAAAATAATCGACTGTAGTTGGTCAATTCCTTACGGCTTAAGAATTAAAGCAAGGTTGTGGACAAGGGGTTAGATTTTCTAAACTTATATTTAGAAAGTTTCTAAACTTATATTTAGAAGCATATAGGATTATGCTTATAACAGCCTTAAAATGTTAAGTTGTATTATTAGTATTAAATGTAAGTTTATTATATGTAAGAAAATGTAACAACACACACTGGAAGTCATTTAAAGCGAAAAGGCGCAGATTAAGAATAAATATATATAATATTAAGTTACATATTACTTCTTTTTATATATGATTTTTACATATACATACGCGCGGAGAGAACATTGTAGTAAAAATTACAATATAAGTTTAGTATTCCGGAAATAGAGTAATACTATGATGAATATTATAATAAGACATAGTAAAAATGATCATAAACATAGTAAAAATTACTATAAATGTGATAAAAATGATCTCATAGTAATCATAGTAATTATTGAGATATTAATGAAAGAAAATTGGCCAATCAATGCACGCAAGGCGGTGAGACGAGCTCTGTAAGGATAATTCTTTATAAAGTTAAAGATTCACGCACATAAAATATTCAGAAGTAGCTACTACTTTCTTAGTAACTTAGCTACTCACACAAATGCGCGCACCTTTAATTTCAATTAAAAAAATTTCTATCTCACAGAAGTGCATTTTATCCGTGATAACCAACTCTTAGAGCAGTGACGGCAAAACGACCGTTTAGCTAAGTTCGAATCAGCCACTGAGATTCAACTAACATTACTAAGTCATTTCTTTGCGTGTGTGTATGCGTAAAGTTTAAGCGACAAGAATATACTTTGATTTGTTCCGCACTGAACTGAATACAACGCATTTAAAACCAACACAGAGATGTAACAATATAATAAAAAGTATGAAAACAGATGTGAAAAGCGTTTTTGATGATAATTTCGGTATATTAACGTCTCGAGCTGTCACAAGCGGATGTTTTTCTTTCGTCCTGGCTTCAAGGTCGAGCGATCGAAATCTAATCGGCGGAAGAAACGTGCGAACGGCCATCCATATGTATCATCTATCTTAAACTATTTTGCATACGCCTCGTCTGAGAGACGAGAAAAGAGCGACAGAAGGGCGGGAGCGGGAGCAGAGAGACGGAATAACTTTCGCAAGATGGAGGATATTCCAAAAAGTAGAAGGAAAAGTGGCGGACGTAAGAATGTGCGCGAGACCGAGGAAAGACAAAATGTGTCTTTGATGTCGTTCAGCTTGGTCGAACCTTTTTGCATCCCTTTGATCCTGCGCGAAGTCCTCAAAGTCTTCGCATACACGTAGGACACACGAGGAATACGCAGACTTTTGCCTCATCATTTAAAGAAGCCAAGGGGAGATATTAAAACCCGCGTTGTTTGACTATGCAGATATATTCCCGCGTTTTTTACAAATTTCGCGCTAAGGTTTTAGGTCAGCGTGATTCTCAAAGCCGATGTGACGTCGGCGTTAAACGAATTAAATTCCCATGTGAATTTAAGACTTTCGTTAGGCGATATTTTTTAAAAACGTTTTCGACAGTGAGATGGAAAGAAACGATTCCCCGTGCTCGTTCGCGAAACTGAAAACGCGACAATCGACGAAAAACACCTCATCGTGTCTCCACTCTGCGTCGAGAATTTTATCGATAAATAATTTCATCTGCACAATAATCATATTTGGATATAATTTAAAAGCTTTTCATATATTTGATATATTAATAATAAATTTTTATACTTTAATTTCCAGTTAGTTGCGTAAGTAATTAGTTTATTTAATACTGGTTGTAGGTGTAATAAAAACGTGTAATTTTAATTTTTATATATTTAGTATAATAAAATTATATTTTATATAATTAATATAATATAATTTTCATATAATAAATTTTCATATAATAAATCTCTTGGGACTTTATTCTTAAATATCTGACTATTGAAACATTTATCTTAATAGATGTTTCATATAATAATTAATCACATATCCAAATACGATATGTCCGATAATGTTAAAAATTAACATTTGATGTTCAATTGTCATTGAAATTTATCTCATATGAAATACTCAGATTTTTTTCAGTATTAGATTCAAGTTTTTCGGTAGAATTACATGAAATTTGTACCTGCAATTGCGATTCAGCATTTTCTTATCTGACTCTGAATTCAAATCTAAGTATAGTCACTTAAGGCAGGTTTCAACTAATAACTATTAATATGGCCCTACAAATTCGTATTTAAAGACGAGAACAATAAAAACGTCCAGCATTAGATACATGTCCATTTTTACTTTACCTATTTTATAGTAAAAGTCATTATAGATCTGTGTAATTGAGGAATAAATCAAAATTCTGCATTAATTCCCTACTCTTTCATCTTATATGTGCTACTTATATTTTAGCAAACAAAGTATGCTATTAAAAACATTTGCTACATTCCTAGCGAAATCTGGTATGTTTCCAGCGAAATTTACCATATCCTTTAGCAAAATAGGTTTTACAGAACTATTAAGTCTATTGCTGAACTACCAAAAATTATCAAAACTATTAAAATTACAAGAACGTAATAAAGTTGGAAAGAACTTACATGAAAAAAAGAGAACTACAATATTCTCTCCGTGTAGCGAAATTTGCAATGTTTCTTATTAGTAAACCTACCTACAAAAGTTACACTCCGATTTCTTTCTAATTTGGCACAAATGTAAAAGTACAAGAAATATTTAGGTCATATTTTTTCATTTTGACCCACTTTGAGTTTCATTGGCAGTTTATAGTTTTTCAATGTTTTCATTCCTATCATTAACAAATACAACAAAAATGCATAAGAAATAAAATTTAATATAAGATATAGGCGTTTTTGGTTTGCTGATTATGAATATGAAGTCAAATGTGTAAAATTATTAATATAAATAATAAAATGTTTAAACAAAATATGTAAAAAATTGAAAAAAATTATTTATACAAATAATTTCTCAGTTTCGCTGAGATTCAAACCATTGTTGATTAATTTAACACAGATTTGAAATATTTCGGTTGGAATCTCGGCTAAAGAAATTTAGAATGATTCGTGCTCAGCTATGCCGATTTTGTAAAAATTTTAATTAAAATTACCGGATTTGTTTCTCTCTCTCAGTTTGGCCAAGATTTGAACCATTTTTTTATTAATTTAGCACAGATTTAAAATAATTTGGTTGGAATCTTGGCTAAAGAAATTTAGAATGGTTCGTGTCTCAGTTACGCCGATTTTGTTAAAATTATTTAACTATGTCTTGTATTCAATTTTATTTCTTATGCATTTTTGTTGTACTTGTTGATGATAGAAGTGAGATCATTAAAAAGCTATAAACTGCCTGTGAAACTCAAAGTGGGCCAAAATGAAAAAATATGACCTAAATATTTCTTGTACTTCTACATTTGTGCCAAATCAGAAAGAAATCGGCGTGTACGCTTCTAGGCAGGTTTACTTGTTGATAAAACAGATTTCATTGACAATCTACTTCTGCACCAATAGAGGCATAGCAAAATCGAGAAGAATTTATACGACAAAAAAATCCATACTCTCTGAGCGCGCACCGAATTTCCTAGCGTGAATGTGCGCGACGAAATTCTCGTCCAGCTGGAAAACACTCGGACTAAATCGCGGGAATGGCCGCGCTAGCTGCGCTGGTCGAACTTAATTGCGAGCATTTTATTGTTGTGCCTGGCGATCCGATCTCGCGCGGGGGTGGCCGGGCTCGCGCCCGCGGCGATGAATGCGAATAACGTTCGAACGTAATCTGTCTTCGTACGTGCCATTTGCCTTTGACGTTTACCACCGCGCGAAGGCCGCGCGCGCGCCGCTATTGATGACAGCGGCGGCGTTGTCGGCCGTTGATAGCCAGCCGGCGGGTTGATAACGCCGCGCGCCGGTGGACACCTAGTTTCACGGGCGAGAAATAATGAAATTCGCCGTTGACGAGGCGAATGGTGATTAATGAGCTGCACACACAGGCGGGAAGGTCGTGTCGCCCGCCGTCGAGGCGCCCGCGCGCGGTTAGTATATATGTGTGTGTGCGCGCGTGCACACCGTGTTGGAAAAAGTTCGGTGGTCGAGTGAGTAACGAGATCGCGGGGGCGGGAAAAAGGAAGGGATCAGAGGACGAGAAGGGAGGGAAAGGGAACGATCGAGCTGTGCAATCGTATATGTCGGAAAAAAGGTGGAAAAAAAGAAGCTGCGCGCAAACTTTATCCGCACTTTCTTTCGACCGCGATTTAAAAGCGATCGCTCCCTTCCGCGGGAATTCTAATGGACTAGTACGCCGCTGCCGACCGAAATTGACGACAATTCCGCCACGGGATTCGGCGAAGCTCGCGCCGAATTAAGCGCGGCGATACGCGACAACGGCTTTCGGTTTATTCGCGGCGACGGGAATTCGCTCGCGCGAGGCCCACCGGCGCTCGCGATCGTTCATAACGCGAAATAATAGAGAAATCCCTTTTCCAGTTCCTAGTGTTTCGCGGAAACTCTTCCGTCTTGTCGTTGGTGAATTCTTCAACGCGCTCCGGAAGTTTGAACGGATAGTTTTCTCTTCTCCTTCCCTTCTTTTTTGTACTTTTTTTTTCCTCAGCACCCGCTCCGTTATTAATGCAGCGGAACTTGGGATATTGAATGGCTCTGTTTAATGTTTCAGCTCTTAGACGGAAACAATGAAGTGGCTCTGGATAATCGTCTTAATAGCTCTGGCTCTGCCAGCCGCTGTACCACGAAAAATCCACAGGAGCAAACCCAGTGAGTAAACATCTCTTAATAAGCATCACGCGGAACTTATCGCGAAAAAAATGTTAATTCCCGAGGTAAACGCTTAAAAAGCGACATCATATTTCAGAAGGTTGGCCGCGTCGCATGTGGCGAGCCAAAGTAATCGAAGCTTTCTCATGAATAAACCGATCGTTTCGTCTACGCTTCGTGCCGTAATAAGAATAAAATAACCTTTATGCAGCCATTTTTCCCTCTATTTTCGTCAATATCATCAATGACGTTATATTCAAAAGAGTTACATTTATCAGAAATAGAAGGGAAATTTAGAAAGAAATATTTAAACTGGTTTTTTCTTCAAGTAAAAGATAATTGTTGAGAATTTTTTATGTGAAAAATATCATATTTTAATTAGTTAATTTTTTGCGGTTAAAAGCATTATGTGTCTTGTCGATTTTATTGATAATATTATATATCGCGCAAAATCGTATAAGAAAATTCATAATGAGCTAAGACATAATAGGAATAGACAAGGCAAATAGGGGAAACTTTATCTAGTTGTCACACTTTTTATACACTAATTAAAAAAAAAGATATGCATGCAATATTTTTTTAATGTGTGTTCATTTCCATATGAATACAACTTTTAGGTAAACTAAAAAATATATTATCCTTGCATATACAAGTAAAAAAGTCATTAAGTTGTAGAATTAGTTGTTACACGTTTTTCATGTAAAAGAAACAAATTAATTGTTTTGAGATTTTAAATATTTCGTTAAAATTAGTGATATCTTATAGTTAAGTATAACAAATAAAACTATTGAACTAAAAAGATAATTATTGTAATAACAGCTTTAAGCTACACACACAATATATTAGGTGAAGTAAAAAGTTCTGAGCGTTTTTTCGCTAAAGACATCTAGCGGAAAACGCTCAGAACTTTTTACTTCATCTAATATATATATATATATATATATATATATATATATATATATATATATATATATATATATATATATATATATATATATATA